GAGCCACTCACAGCGCTTGAGACTACAAAGCTCTTAAGCACCGGTCATTGTGATTGGTGGTGTCCAATCGATCCGTGGTCAACCGGGATCACCCCTATAAAGGGATAAAGTTTTCACGTAATTTAATTTCTATATGTTTTAATTGGTTTCCATTAAAATTTTGATCTCTTTCTTTTTCACTTTTTAAATAGTTTAAAATTATATCTATTATATTTTATTTATAGCTTTATTCGGATTATTCCATACATATTCGCATAATACGTGATGTTTTATAGCAAAATACATTTTTTTATATTAAAAGAATAATATACTTTTACTGTACTCTACTATGAACGTAGCGAACACAGGGAGATAGATGCTATACGAGCGAGTGGCTTGAAGATCGAGGATCAATGCTCGCATAGAAGTGAAAGGAGCGAGTGACTAAAGAGCGCGAGCTGAGATACCAGATCGAACGGCAAAAGAAGCGGTGACAGTGAAACAACGATCTGGTATCTCAGCTTGCGCTTATTCTTTTGTCATCTGTTCAGGCCAGATTTAAACGTGTTACTTTAAAGTAACAGCTATACATATAGGAAACCGAAATTTCAAAAGACGGGAATACGCGCGAGAAATTGAAAAAAATAGGTAATTGCTCAATTTTACGACACCCTACAAAAATCTTTACCAATTCATGATTTGGACATTCGTAGATGGGTTTTAAATGCTAGAAATCAATTGCAATTATCAGCAGATTTTTTTAAAGCATCAAAAACGTGAGTTCATAATTTCAAACAGAAACATCACATTGTTTCCAGAAAAATAAATAAATTTATAACGCAGAAAACTTTGATAGAGATAAATAAACTAAAAATAGAGTCTAACAATTTTGTTGAAAAGGTAAAAACAGAAATTTCGTTAATTGGAGCAGAGAATGTGTTTAATTCTGATCAATCGGGTTTTAATTTAGAAATGCACACAGGACGTACTTTATCCTTCAAAGGACAGCAGAAGATTGAAACAGTAACACAATCAACGAATTCAATGACTCATAGCTACACAATTGAGCCCATCGTATCAACATGTAGTTCCCTTTTGTCACCGCTATTAATTATTTTACAAGAAAAAGATGAAAAATTTGGACCTCGAGTTGAAGCAACTCTTTTTAAACCTGATAATGTTATTGTATTACCTTCAAATTCAGGTAAGATGTCGACGAATCTTGTGAAAACATGGTTCACAAATGTTTTTCTTCCTAATTGCAACGATAATAGTGTTTTGCTTTTAGATTCATGGAGTGGCCAAAATTCGAAGACATTTGAAACAATAGATAAATTATCAAAAAATATTAAAGTTTTAACAATTCCTGCAGGAACTGGGATGATTCAACCTCTCGACGTCTTTGGATTGAGAATTTGGAAAAACTTTATTAAACATTTTTCAGATTTAATTATTTTGTATAATTACGATATAAATTTACATTATGAAACAACGTTATCAAATTGCAATCGCTTATTCACAATCAGTTATCTTCTTTGCGATGTATAAATTTATTTAAGTATTCATGGTACAAAAGTGGATACTTACAAGAAAAACCACTTCATTTTGATAATCCAGTAGATTATTGTTTTAAAAATTGTGAAGCTATCTTCGAATTATTATGTAATAATGTAGCAGTCATAAAGTGCGCTTGGTGTGTAAAATCTTTGTGCATACAAGATTTTTTTATTGAATATCGTTTCTGCAAAGAGTATGTAGCATAAAAAAGAAAAAATTAACATACAGTTGAGAATAATTGTTTAAAAAAATATGAAAAAATCGAAAAGTATAAAAAGTATAAAAACAAAAACATGAAAAATATAAAAAGAATAATAAAAAACAAAATGGGAATAGACTCTCGCCACCTCCTTGTCGATTATTCCTGGGTTCGGCAAAGAGCGGGATCAGATAGTTCGAATTCACTGCAGGAATCCGCCATATTGAATCCGTTATTTTGAATTCTACAATTTTTATACAGAATTTGCTTTCAGAAAACATGAAAACCTCTTATTATACCTCAAATTCAATATTAACTTTAATACAGCAAGCTAAAGTACGAGAAATTAAGTATTCGTGATTATAAGTGGTAGTTTCCACCCTTAAATCTGCACCATTGCCGATATAAAAAAAATACGTGTCTATTATTTTTGCCTACTCTACACAAGTTTCATTAAATTCTGCGAGTCACGGAAAGATCACTTTACTTGTGAGTTTATTATAATGAGATATAAAGGTTAATGATTCGCTGTACATACGTCCTACTTGAGTTTGTATCTAATACAGACTGACTCGTCGTTAAGATCCGCGCTGCCAACCGCTGCGATGCTATTGCCGCGCCGTTACATCGAACAGGTCATGGGGAAACTAGTGAAAATCCCTATTTCGAGGGCGCGTGTTACAAATCAACATTTACGCAATATTCCCAGAGGTTACGGTCGCACTCGGATACTTAAAATAAAATTTTAATTGATTAATAAAAATACATTCAATCGATGAGTTTTCGCATAAAAATAAAAACTTGACAAGAAAAAAGTGTCGCTCTGTCTCGTGAACCGTGATGACATTAGTCATTGAAGTCAACGACTATTCAAGTTAGGAAGTCTGTCATAGCCACAAAATACAGCGATGCAGGCATACACTGCAGACACTGTGGTAAGATTTTCATTTCTCTATTTTAAAATATAAGAAAGTAACTTGTATTTTTAAATTAGAAAATATGTTTTAAAGCAGAGAATTTCACAGTATTTCGTGGCTGACAAAACTTCTAATCTGAATAATATTCGACTTTGGACCACTTTCACCATCGTCGGTTTACTTAACCAGCCTAGTAACTGTAATGAAATAGAAAGAGATGGAACTATTTCTATCTCTTTCTATTTCATTACAGTTACTAGGCTGGTTAAGTTAACTGAGCTTGGTGAAAGTGGCCTTTTAACGATTAATATCTCGGTTAACGAGGCAGAGTTTATTGAAAGTAAAATTCTTACTTTAGATAAGCAAGCGGTTAAAGAAAAGAAATAAACGATCGTTCAAAGTATATGATCTTTTTTTAACTCTTAATTCTCGCAATTTTCTCTGAAAGTTGGAAAACAAAATCGCGCATATCTGGAGACACTGGTAGTGTCTCGGCGCTAAGCTGCGCGAAGCGACACTGCCGTATCTCCTTTACGCGAACCGACGAGTTGCGGCAGATCGAGATTATCGGATCTCAATAACGGCTGAACCGATCGCGTTCTATGTATGCTCAATCGATAGCCACCACATGGATTGTATGATAAAAGTGCTTTATTTTTTTTCTACGTACCCTACGAGCGGAGATATTGCGACGTAAAGTTCTAAATGTTTGATTTTGATCTGGTTTTAAGGTCCCTGAGTAGTCGCGGCGGCCATGTTGGAATCGTGACGTCAGAAGCGAGGAATGACACGTTAATTTATGCACGATGCCATTTGTAAACAGAGACAATTTGGATGAAATTAAACGATGGGTTCGCTTTAAAACACTTGTAAAAATCGATGAAAACTGTCCTTTTCTCGCTTGATAGTCAATAAATGGTCGTAAAAGACTTGTAAAGTGAGTCTATATTCTGGCAGAAACACACGGTTTCATAACTGTTGAAACGAGTTAAATATATACTTTTACGTATAAAATTCCAAGATAACTTTAGTTGTCATCGAAAATTGCGACTTTGAGAAGTACGAAACAAGTCACATTTTCACAATTAAGCAAATAATAACGAAATGGCATTGTGCACAAATTTCGTCGTCAAAACTGGTCAAAATGTCACTTTTCCATGCCTATAAGTTCGGCCATTTATCGTGGTGTGGCGCTGTAACACACAAACAAGCACGATCCCATGTCCGTGTCCGTCGCAGGCGAGCACACGGACATGGGCTCGTGCTTAAGTATGTGGCTACCGAATTTGCCAAACCGCCGTCTGATACTGTGTCGCCATCGTCAACGCAGAGTTCTTGGCTGAGTAGTCAGGAGCCTTAGGG